CTCTACAATCTTTTTTGATGATTAAAGGCAAGAATTTTACCAAAGTCATGCCTGGTAAATGACAAAATTATAGAAAATAGAACATGTTCGCCTAGAACAGGTTCTCTTAACCTTTTTCTATCAAAATTTCAGAGAGCCCATGGACCCTTTACGAAAAGATGAAGAAGAAGAAAGACTTAGGGTTGCCTTGACACATGTCTCGCTCACTTCAGTAATGGATGGCCGTCAAAGGACGCAAAAGTTTAAAAAAGTCACGCGCACCGCGCTTATATATTCACAACATATTGTATACCAATTTATATATTAATGCGAGCCTACCTAACGTAATTGTTAGGTAGGCTTGCCATGGATCCTCGGCGTTTATAACACGGACCCCTTTGGGGTCCATGAATCACAGGTTAAGAAACCCTGGCCGAGGTTGTTTATTGTTTCCCGTCAGAGAAAAATTCGTAGGCAGATAATTTTTTCACTATCTTTAAACTCATGCTAACAGAAATTTGTGCAATTTACAAAAAATTTTTAAGGTAACAGATTATAACCATAACGAGGCTGCTAATTTAATTTCATTAGCCTTCTTGGTTCACTGAATCACATAATTTGACCTTGAAATGAGGTTACCTGCTAAGATGTTAGATAATGTAAAAACATTGTGGATAAGGTTAACATTTTCGTGTGAAAATTTTACATTTAGCTATGCATGAGACCTTGTCTGTGTGAACTCTTTTAGTAATCTACAATTATGAACTAATTGTGTTTTTACGAAAGATTACCATATTAAGTACTACAAATAAAAAATATATTTCAGTACACTTTGTGTACGTCTTTTATATTTTACTTTTAAATTATGTGGCTCTAGTGAAAAAGGGTACAAGTAAAAAAGTCAACTTTACAAGGAAACGCGAAAGTCACTTAATGCTTAGTATCATATGTTTTTCAAGTCTCTTTGAAAGTTGGCTTTTTTTACTTATACCCCTTTTCACTAGAGCCACAGAATTATTTTTAGATCTTAGACAAGTATCACGTATATATAACGTACTTCTGCTATTCCGCAGGTTAAAAGGAAAATAATTTTATAATAATTTGTGGTAGTAGCTTCTATAATCCTTGAATTTACACTTTTATTGTATGAATAGTTTACTTTTTAAATAATTAGCATCTGATGATATACGCTGCAAGTACATATTCCACATTTATTTCATTTTTCTTTATCTTGGCATATCTGCTACACACATACTAAATGTATTAAAAGTGTATATTCTGTGTAGAGGTAGACCATTAGGAAGTCACCACACTTATTTATTGACGCAGAATCGTATTAAGCCGATCAGAAAAAGCTTTATGTATGAACGCGACTCAGTTGGGTTTACATTTTTTTTTCATAATGTCAAATGACGGGACGTCGTGCGTCCTGATGGTAAGCTATAAGCTTATCCATAACAGTTGCAGTACCACTCAAAAGCTACCAACTTTAAGTTGTAAAAAATCTGCGGGGCACTGCCGCTGTGCCCGTCATCATAAGGCATAAGTTGACAAGTCCCATGTGCCTGTAATTTCACCAGTACCCTTACTTTTGAAAACCGAAACACAGTAATACTCATATTACCACTTGGCGACAGAAATAGGTAAGGTGGCAGAGCTTCCTTTGACGAACTCTTTCACAGAGAGCTCCACTGCTACGAAACATGATTGAAGAACACGTCTTTTCTCTCCGAGAAATTTGACGGAAGTGACGACGGAACGAAGCAAAGTAAGAATGTCGAAGAAAATGAACTAGAAACGAACATTTAAAAAGTGGCCAGGAATCAGAAAAAAGGGGGTTAAAATGGTGGGATGACGATGACAGAGGTCGCGTGTGATAAAATAACTTGACGTATGACTTTTTTATACTATGGACATGATTTTTTGCATGGGATATAATGCAGTGTCATGTGGTACTGAATTTGTACAGAATTTATTATAACACCGTCTAAAATTTACTGTTATTCGTACAAAATTGTAATATTATTTACAGTTGTTTGTACTATTTCTTACAAAAGAGTTCAACGAGACCTTGCGTCCGACATTTATTTCCTGGCTAACAATAGTTTTACGTTATTATAAAATAAACGTATTGTAATAAATAACTATTTTGTTTTCTTCAAATTTTTACACTAAGAATATATATCTGCTTCAATGTATGGGTGCGGCATAGGCGTTTCGTGTCGCTGATAAATCGACAAGGAAACGTGTTTGCGCGAAAAGGCCGGGCTATTAAACATTGCAAAACGTAACTTAATGCTTAACTTACTAGTAAATGTCGTTAAATCAATATCTTCAACTGGCTTTCACTTATAATATTAAGTATCACTATGTTTTAATACCATGATAATCACAAAGATCTGAGGGGCACTGCCACTGCGCCCGACACCTAGAGACATTGACATGTCCCATGTGCCTGTAATGTTGACATTACTGCTTGCCGCCAAGTTATAGGTAATGTAGCAGTACTTCCCTGCACGAGCTCTTTCATAAGGAGCTCTACTGCTACTAAAATAAGTAAGGTAAGGGTTCTGGTGAAATCACAGGCACATGGGACTTGTCAACTTATGTCTCACGGTTACGGATGCAGTGGCAGTGGCGTATCGCTTACAACCACGTATACGGCCTGTTCATCGGTGGGTGAATTCTTTCACGGGGAACTCTGCTGCTTCTAAAATCTAACCCAGACTTTTAAGTAATATCATGGTTCTTATATGTACATATACTACTTAATGTGTATTCATAATTAGTACGTTAAATCATGTTGCAATATAATAATTTTATTAACATTGGAAGCTTGTTTTTTATAGCTTTACTAACACACGTAAGAAACAAGTTACGTCATAAATATCTAGAATCAGTCGTAAATAAATATTGGTTCTTATTTCGTTTTTAAATGTCGTTAATAAAGATACGGGCCTTGAGTTTCATACAATCAGCCGTTCCGGCTCCCTTTCCAATTCGTTGGCTAACGGAGGAAACAATCTATTTAATCATTATGCCAAAAAGGCCAGAACTAATTGTATAGGTTATACTTTACCAGTGTTTAAAATTGTTCGTTAATAATATTTTAAGTATAATAGATTTATGACTTTATTTGTGTGCGTTTAAAAATGACTTTAAAATATTACAATTATAAATGTATTATGTATTACAATTAATTAATTAATGTTATTTAATTTATACAAATAATGACTGATTATTATGGAAGTAATATTGACATCTTTGTTACTCTCTTTAAGACGACGATGTCAAAATTCATAAGCAGCAGTGCCAAATTAATTTACGTGAACAGAATTATTGGATGCTCTGTGTGTGCAATCAATTGAAATTGTATTTTATTTTATTGTTTTGCTTCTCCTTCAAGGAATAATTTGATTATTTAGTGTCAAGTTAATCCATCAGTATCATGTTTACTATAAATTGTTTGAATCAAACCGAGTAACACTATTGCCAACAAAAGAAAGTTAAATTTATATTACTAAGTATATTTTTATGAGTTAGTTACAGTCAATTTAAAAATACACCGAAAACCTGAAATATAAAGTCTTGAAGACAGACATAATCTTAAATAAATAAACGCGAAATAAATAACCATTAAATCAATTGTAAAATACCATTGACTTACAAATAAATGGACGACGGGTCTAAGACAAAAACCACGAAAAAAATGTCCCAAGTCAACCTATTTAAACGTAGTGACATGTAAAGGAATATGAAAAAGCTAAAACGTTGAATTTGAATTGTAATGTCATCGTAGTACTGTCTAATTTTGTTTGCTTCGCTGTCAGTCGAACAAACGAACTAAAGCGTGAATGACGCTCTGTATACGATTTTAACGCCCTATAAGTTCGGACACTTTTTAGCGCGGACCCGATGTCCATATAATTGTAAGTCAATGTAAAATACAGTATTTTTATGCTTTATAAACCAAGAAATAGTTCTAACTAGGGGCTAAGGAAGTATTTTTAATAAATCAATTGTATTCTTGGCTGTATCTCTTATTTGCGTTGACTCTCTCTACCCTTCAATCCAAAATTTCATTAAAAAAAGGGAAATATTCCCGACCTTCGCATTTAGCTATTCAGGTTCACAGATAAAAACCCTTTCACCAGTAAGAAAGTCAGCAAAGTTTATAAATAAAAAACACGATTTAGGACAAACACATCAAATATACCCTTTATAGTATTTCAACCGTAAGTTTCTTGTATCTTATGCAATAAATTTTCAAAAAAGCATATAAATGTGAATTTTTATATTTCTTCGTAATAAATTTCTAAGCGGCTATCCTCACGAACTTGACAAACTAGTTCGTTATATAAATACCTTATGATGCATATGTTTAATGCATGATGACTAAAATACTGTGTTGTAACATCATTGACAATTATATACCAGTGTAACATGTATGTTATGTAGTATATAATGAAGTTATACTTCAGTAGATTGAGTTATACCAATCAACTTTAAACGAGTTATTGCGATATCTTATTAGAAGGTCATGTAACTTTGTTTTAAGTATATTTCTAATTGAAAATTGTATAAAATGTATTAGTATTTATTAAGAAGATGTTAGGATTTGAACTTTTTAATTGACATACTTTTTGCAACTGGTTTTGAGAACTATTGTTTTTTTTCTTATTGGCTTTTGTTTAACGACACTAACTAAAAAAAAATCTCGACTCAGGAAGTAAACTTTGGATATATTATTTGTTGTTATTATTAATATTCATGTATCACTTGTAATAAGATAATGAAAGTGACAACTTGGATGCACTAACACAAATAAATTTAGCTTACGTTATCAAAAAAAAAAAACACAAAAGTAGAAATTTATCATAAACAAATTTGAGTGAAGTATTAGATTTTAGAAAGATTGATAATTTATTCACTTTTAAAATTATAAAAATCTCATAACACTTCTGATAACACTGACTAAATCATCAACAATAAAGGGATGATAATAAAAATGAAAATCTTACCGTAGACAAAGCAAGCGAGGAAGACGATAAGAGAACTCATATTTGCGTATGACAGTGGACGTCCGCGCGGGGTACTGGGGTCTACGGCACTGGTGCGCGTGCGCAAACGTCGCGCCGGCAGCGCAAGCAGCTATAGAGGCGGCAGCGGTCGAGTTGGGGTCTTGAAGTTAAAGAAAGTTCTTTGAATTTTAATAAATTCATTAGTTTTGTAACATAAGAATACCTAAGTTAAGATTAAGTTTAAGATTTTTTGTTTGTTATGATTTCGATGTGTCTCCTTTATCTTAATTTTCATCTGGCGTTAATTAAGGTTATATAAGTTTGGAGTTTTGGAAAATAATTTAAACATCTTCTTACTAAAGTAAATGATACTTTAATGAATTTTCTTTATTATATCTATGTATATGTACTTCGTCGTTTGTATTTAAATCATGATAATATCAGCATCCGGTACTTTAATTATTGCAGTGTAATTAGAAATATTTCTTATTAAATGTAAATATATCTTTTAAATCATATCTACGTTTTGATCACTGTGAGCATTAGACACATAAACATGAGATAAAAATTTCAATATTAATGCAGTTAAAATACTAGATACATCTCTGTATTTCAATGTTTTATTTAGTTGTTAAAATAATGGTAATGTTTAATAAAATCTGGTAAATGTTTGGTACTAAATTAAACAATTACAATATTCTGGAGAAATATTTTTGTAAGATATCTTTTAAATCATGTGAGTATTGTAAAACGAATTTTAATGAAGTGGACTGTTGGCGAATTTTAATTCAATTAATCACAAAATTATTAAAATATTTACTTAAAATTACGATTATCATTGTTTAATTGACTCAGATGGAAACAAGTTACATTATCAATTTAAACAACATCTTGTCAATTTCTAATCCTTTGTTTATTTGATCTAAAATGTATAAATGCATACCTGGTTGTTATATTGTTTCGTTTATTGTAGACGTAACTCATAATTTTAATGGAAAAAATAAGTAAATATAACGATCTCGGTCACTGTACGGTTTGCATTGTGGGCGCTAGTGTTGGCGGTTCCGGGTTCTATTACCGCTAGCTTTTAATAGCAGTAGAGCTCCTTGTGAAAGAGTTCGTCCAGGGAAATACTTCCACCTCACCTATTTCTGCCGCCAAGCAGTATTGTGAGCACCACTGTGTTCCGGTTTTGAAGTGTGAGGGTGCTGGTGAAATTACAGGCACCTGAGACTTGTCAACTTATATCTCAGGTGACTAGTAGTCACTTAAGTGTTGAGTTTTGCTCGACATTTTTCTAACCAGTCGGTAGTTCTTAATCATTTATGGAATGTTCTAAGGAATTTCCTAGTTCGGACCAGGAATTGGTATGGTTTTATGGCACACATAAAAAAAGTAGTTTCTGTGTATCAAACTGTAAGATATATATTTTCAAAACGATAAATGTTGTAATGACCAGCATCAATCTGTTAATATTTAAGGTGAACCACCACCAATATAACTTTTGAGTATTTGTATTTTATACGTAAGAGGTGAGCCACGGAAAGAAATAAATGCCCGTGGTCCATTCAGGTGAACTACACAGGTGTTCCATGGGCAAGAAGCGTTTTAATATTTCGTTTTAGTCTAAATTGTAAGTTACGTCCCTTAGTGTTGAAAGGACGATAAGTTAGCCGAACAATTTACGCATACGACTATGAACAGCCTGTTTGTGGTCATATTACGAAAGCGAGCGTGAACCCTGCCGCCTACAACGTACAACACGTGACAGTAATATTGTACACTCCCGTGCATCAACATGTGTACACATAGCGAAATAACATTTAGTAAGCATACGTCATACAAAATCCGTTGAAATCTTTAAAAACATATTTGCTAGAATAATGAAAATGTTTAATGAATACAAATAATATCATTTTAACTAACGTTTCAGAAGGTTTATAGATTTTTAGTAGCAGTGGAAATAATTGTGAAAGAGTCCGTCCACGGAAGTAATGCCACCTTACCTATTTCTGCCGATAAGGAGTAATGTTAACATTATTGCGTTCGGATTTTAAAGGGTAAGGCTGCTGGTGAAATTATAGCCACGAGACTTGTCAACTTCTATTACAGGGTGACGGACAGTGCCTCTTTGCGATTTAAGGCTATCCGAACGGCACTGCAACTGCTTTAGATAGGCGTGTTGTTTACGATCAGGTACACGATTTATTCGTCTCGTCACTTGGTGACACACATACATAACTCGTAATTGTATTATAGGCTACGCTCAAAACATTACAAAATATTTCTTTACGACAATAATTGTGGACCAAAACAACATAACTGTAGTTTTGGTACATTGAAAAGTGATTAGTGTATCGGTGAACAGAGAATTGCTTATGAATCGAACTTTTTAGTGCCCTCCGAATAACTTTGTATTGATTTGCAGAGAACATGATTCAGGGAAATTATACTCTGGCCTAAGTTCCGTGATGTATATGTTATATATATAAATATTAGACAACATCACACGGGGTGCTCAGATCACAAAGTGTACGGTTAATACGGCACATTAAGTATGTCACTGCGTCAGCATTTTTATGTTTAGCTAAGATTTCGAGACACTCGCAATCAGGGCATTGTCATAAGCAAGCGCATATTTCCTTTTGTAATCAAATTAATGAAATAAATACCATTTTTAAGATCAACAAGGATTCTTTGTTCATCAACATCATTATCAAGATAGTTTGGGTAGCATGATGAAGACGCGAACACAAAGTAACTAACTAAGGCACTTGTGTTGTAGAAATCGGAACCCAGATCAGAGACAATATGGAAAAGTAGGTTTTCTACATTAACCCGCCCGGGAATCGAACCTGGGACTTCAGAAATGACGATACCATAAAAACCGGTGCGCAAGCCACTCGATCATGGAGGTCGTCACAAAATGGAATTAGTTTTTATTACATGACCCGCCTAACAATTTTCCTTTTACATTTTTTTTATGATACCAATTGAAGGACGAACATATCGTGCTCCTGGTTTCTACCTGGCGTATTGCTCTCTAGATTAAATAATTGCTTTATGATAGTAAATACAATACAATACAAAATGTCAAAAATAAAAGAAGTAATAATTACTACAACTACAACTTTTTATAAAAAAACTGACCTAAAAAGTTCGTGGAATTACATCTAATTGCCAAGTTTTATTAAAATCGGTTACCTGAAAGTGCGCCAAACCGGATTTATCCCCTAGATTGCCACCATTAGAGGTAGAATATTTTTTTCAAAATTTAAATGGGAGCTATTTCACACAAAAAAAGAAATATCAAAATCTGTTTACAAACGCCAGAGTAATCGTGTAACATACATACAAAAACATAGTACAGTCGAATTGAGAACTTCCTCCTTTTTTAAAGTCCGTTAAAAATCCGGATAATTTACATATGTAGGTTTCTTCTTACGATCGTACTCTAACTTCGAGTACAACCGGTAACTTATGCTAACTATGACCCCGTTTTTAGTTTTTCCATAAAAACAATAGTCGCTTTCAGGCATGACAGGTTGGTTCAGCGATCTTACATCAACAGTTGCGCGTACGCAACTGACACAATTGCAATACAAGCGATAATTGCTTTACAATCTCATAACTGACACTGATCGTTGAAATTACTGGTTTATGTTAACCATTCCTTCATAGTTGATTGGAACTGAAATCATATTACTAGAACTGATAAAAAAAACTGCATCAACATAAAAATTACTTTTTATTTTCAATACTCCTGCATTACGACGCCACGAACCAACCAGCTCAAAAGCAAAGACGTAAGGAATATTTTAGACTCACAGCAAAAGATTCTACATATTCATGTAGGTTAGCAGAAAATAGAACAACCCATAATCTCCTGAAATATTAGTATTACCATATAAAACTTCATTAATGTCTTCAAATGATTCAAGTGAATTAATGAAACGAATTATGATATGAATCAAAGTGAATAATGAAAAGGATTTTTTTAATTTATTAATAATGAATATGTATTAATGAAAATAATTTATGCCACGAAGCAATGAAATAAATTAATGTTGAGGTGGAGTCACAATAATTAGAAGTATTACGATGACTCCTAAGAATTCATGCATTCGTGAATGTATTAGCAGTCGCATTCGTAAATTTCTCGAAGGTTTTTCCATTTGGAAGAAAACTTAGTTACCTACATGAGAAACAAAGTGTATGATAGTATCATATTTTGTTTGTATGTCATCTGGCGATTAGCTCCTAGATTTTAAGATTGCATTGAAACAGGGTGTTTAATTGCCATGGTTTTTTCTTTTCGCTTCTATAAGAAGCTAATTCTTCGAAGAATTAAAAATTTGCATAGATATTATTTATAAACAGCGTTTTCTCGCTTAAACCTTGACGTACGAATCACATAAAAAAACATAAAACAATATCTCTTAACTCGGAGTTATGTATTTGTGCCATCAATGCGGTATTCTGTAGAGCATCTAGTTCCAATAAATCACTTATACTGTCGTAACTCAAATTGTGGAATTGAGAGGACATGTTTGAAAATAAAAACATACCGAATGAAACCAATACACATATTCTTGTCTATAAATGGATAATTAAGTATTATCTTCTTCTTCCTGTCCTTATCCCACGCTAGGTGTGGTCGACACAACATGTATTTTAGTTTTTTTTGTACAATTTTATTTATGTTTTAATTACATTTATTTTTTTTACAACTGACTCCGTGGCTGAACGGTTACTATACTAACGGTGACTGCCACGCAGAGGTACCAGGTTCAATTCCTGGGCCGGGACAAATATTTGTATGGCCTATATTTATTTCTCTCGTGTGTTTGGGTGTCATTTGTGGTTATCTATGTGTGTGTCCATGGCACCCTCGACACAGGGTTTCCCTAGTGCGGCACTATGTTGAGTGTGTGCGTTATTATTATTAGTAATTATTATTATTATTCTTCCACTCTCCCCTATCAACCGTCATTTTCATACTCACACCTTTCGTACCCATGTGATCTTTAACACACTCCATCCTTTCTTTGGCCTTCCTTTCCTTTCCCATCATATTTCCCCCACGTTCATACTCATACCTAACACTTTTCCCGTCACATAACACTCTTCCCTCCGCATGACATGTCCATACCATGCTAACCTATTGATCATCATCTTTTCCGTCACTGGCGCCACTTTCAAAGTTCCCCTGACGTACTCATTCCTCATCTTATATATCCGGTCTTGTATATTTTCCCCTATAAGGGGCATTCGCCGATTGCAAATAATGCCTGTTAAAATGCAACTATTATCCTGTATTTTACGTCCCGATCTATCTTAATAAAATAAATAAATAAAAATAATCACAGTTTGCAATACCTAATAATTCAGTATTTTTTTAAATTTTCAAATTGTGTTTTTTCAATTCCGCAATTTATGAGTAATTGATGAATGAAAGTCCATTGAATTCATCTGATATGTCACCTTTTTGTATAAATATTAGACAACATCACATACGTTTCTCTGATTCCAAAGTATATAAGTAACTAGAGCACTTGTGTTATGAAAATCCACAACCACTTTACCACAAACACTTTGAACCGGCCGGGGATCAAACCCGGAACTTCAGAGATGGCTTGAAAACCGATGTGCAAGCCTTTCAACTACGTGGTCGTGGTATTTATGTACTTCATGTAGTTTAAATATTAGTCCGCAAACTTTGGAGTTATCGCGCCATCTGTCGAAAAACACCTAAATTATTAAGTTTTAATATAATAACCGGCAAAAGTCTTCTTAAGGTTTTTATGTAGCCGAGTACTTATTAACTCTAAAGTAGAGAGTATACTGTAGATGGCGCTAGATAGGTGTCTGTTTATTTGACAATCTAAATGGTCAAAGGCTGGGCGCCGACTGAGGTGGTCTCGGGTTCGGTTCCCGGGAAGATCAATTTGGAATATGATTTTTTCTAATTTGATTCGGGTCTAGGTGTTCCAGGTACTTACACCGGAGTGAATTCCGTTTGCCCTGATACTCATAGCGCAGGGAATTCCTTAGTTTGAGACCGGGTATTTTTATTTAATTGGTGCCGTTTTCTGGTTCAAAATACAAAAACAAAGACAAAAGACATAACAGAACCAGCCTTATTGTTAGATGTGATAACAAAAAACTTAAAAACATAAATAAAGAAGGTGAAATAAGTTTTTTTATAATATCAAGTGACGGAACGAACAAGTCGTGCACCTGTTGGTAAGCTACGCGCATGTCCATAGTAAATGGAGCTTTAAAATGTCCACCGTAAAGATATAACGATACGAATAAAATAATGTCAGAAAATGAAACTACTGAAACATTTTTTTAAAGGACTTCAAAAAGGAGATTCTCATTCGACAGTATTTTTTGTGTAAATGTTACGCGATTACTCCGGCATTTGTTGACCGATTTTGATGATTCTTTTTATGTTGGAAAGAGGGTACCTTATTATTAGTTCCATTTAAATTTGAAGAAAATATTCCACCTCTAAGGGTGGCAAACTAGGGGACGAAAGTTTTCAGCACTTTCCAGTAACCGATTTCAATAAACTTGGCAAATAGATGTAATTCTGTAACCTCTTTATGATCTTTTATTATGCGCAGCCCAGGAATGGAATACCCTACCTCTGCTGCGTCTATATTTCCGAATTCATACAACCCGGGTATCTCTAAGGTGCGATTGAATAGGCATCTTCTGGGCAAGCTCGTTCTATCGTAGATCCTATCTTTGCTCCAGAGCTAGGTAGTGGTTAAGAGTAAGTCCATTTAATAAAAAAAATAATAATATAAAATAGCTATGATTATTGTCATATAAACATAAGAGGCTATTCCTATTATATACTGTATACATTGTACTCTGTGTTTAATTAATGGAATACTATTATTTGATCTTCAAAAAAGTGCGCATTTACGATAGATAATATTTTTTATAATATCAAGTGATGAGACGAACAAATCATGCGACTGGTGGTAAGTTATACGCCTGTCCATAACAGTTGCAGTGCCACTCGGAGTTTTAAATCGCAAAGATCTGCGGGACATTGCCACTGCGCCTATCACCCTGAGACATAAGTTGATTAGTCCCATGTGCCAGTCCTTTAAACCGGAGCGCAATAAGCCTCACATTACTGCTTGGCGACAGAAATAGGCAAGGTGGCAATACTTCCCTGGACGAACTCTTTCACAGGGAGCTCTACTGCTACTTCTACTTTTCCTCGTACGCTAGGAATAGTTCTCTAATTTTATGATTAAGATGTTAAAATCATGCATATATCAATGTTTTGTACAAAGGGCGTACGTGACATTTCGTAGCTTGTACCGATTTTGACAAAAATAGGGTTTTTGAATCTGGAATTCTTTCCCAATAAGTAGTTGTTGCGATCAGGTAATCAGATCATATCGCGTAATTTACAAGAGAGTCCTTGTACTTTATATTATGAAATTGTTGTTTTCGCCAAAGTACGCTAGTTTACTTCGGTACATTCTCCAATCATGATATTATTTCTCACTAAGAATTATAAGTTATTCACCATGAGAACACAGAAAAATATTATTAAAAAACGTACACGTAAATATTAAAGTTTTGCCGTCATTACATTTTAGCAACAGACAAGACCGTCTCATCCGTATTCGAACTTTATTTGACAAAACATGAGAACTTATTAGTTACAAGTATGTTTCTTTTCCTTTTACCACAATAGTGTTACTGTTAGTGTTTTTAATAACATATAATAGAGTCAAGGATATTTACGAGGAATATTGAAACAATTATTTTTTTAATTAAATTTAATTATTTCGTTTTACAAACTAAATATTATCAATACATATCACTTTACGCTTTCTTGGGAACTTTGCTCTTCTCTAACGGCTGACCCTCGTAGTAGTTTTCGCTGTGAAGAAGTTTATCATCAAAATCTATTTAAAATCTTTGAATATTCGAGTTTATACTATTATGTAAACGTGTCTATAGACGTATATTTCATATATATTATCAGTAGGGCTAGCACGATAAGTAGCGACTTGTGCAAGAGCGACCTAAAGCGCAAGATTTTTATGCGAGAATTATTTCTACAAGAGATTTCTAGCCGCGCCCTATCGTGCTAGCCCTACAAGTCTATGATCGTATATGACATGTATTTTTAACGACACATAAACAAGTGTTAATAGTATGATAAAACGTAATGTTTTTTCAATTGTCATGTCAAAGATCTTTCTGCATAAAAAATCAATAAAATTTAATCGCTTACCATCCCGGCACCTTCTCAGGGTTATCGCACATGAAGGTGTCCTCATTGTAGACTTTGCCAGAGGGGCAACTGCCTTTCTGTGGCTGGACGCCATTGCGGCAGATGTAGAACTTCTGGCAGTCCTCAGGGTGAGGAAAAGTGGGGTGGGGCAAAGCTCGGCCGTTGGGACCCATTACCTCGCCATCAGGACATGAAAAACCGTCGTCGAGAACGTCTAAAAATAAACGTGAAATTAAAATATTACCTGCTCCTATTTACATAGAACTTGATAGATTTTATCTTCACGAGTCTGTGTACATTGTTTTATAGTATTAAATAGTATAAATTAAATGCGAGTTTACAACAAACCCTTTGTAACGTGTTCGCAAGTGCGCTGCACGTACTCCTTCCAGTCGCAGTTGGATGTTTCTTCGTCGAAGAACAGACCGGGCGGGCAGGGAAGCTCGTGGGGAACTCCGTCAGAGCAGTAGTAGAATTTGTCACAAGCCTATAAATAGTAATTTGTAGGCTATTGTCATATAATAATAGCCCCGCACTAGGGAAACCCTGTATCGCGGGTGCCATGGACACACACATAGACAACCACAAATTACACCCAAACTCACGAGAGAGTAGGCCATACAAATATTTCTCCTGGCCCAGGAATCGAACCTGGGATCTCTGCGTGGCAGTCATGGTAACCGTTCGGCCACGGAGGCATTTATGTTAAACAACACTTTAATTTTTTTTGTTTGAATGCTTAATATTAAAAACATTGCAATACTTATCTATGAATTATGGAGTGCATCAGATTTTATGATTTAAAATCTCAAATTAAGTCACTCTGTAATTCATATTCCTTTTGTTACTTAATATGAACTAATGTTTATTTAATCTTGACAATGTTTTTGGTTTTTCTCTCATTCGTTTTCGCTTTATTTCAGAGTTGTGTCAATAAAATAAAACAAAAATAACGATTTAGAGCATAACTTGCGTGACTTGTCTTTTTCGTATTTTTACCATTTATTCTTCAGAAATAAATAAATCAGAGGTTTATTTTTGACATAATTTTGAACACACAATGCAAATTACTTACCTGTGGATCAGGATGCTTGAAATATCCATTCTGACGAGGGCAGCCTTTTGTCGGTTTTGGATCCTCTGAAATTCACAGTTATGTTTTATCCAGATTTAATACTCAAAATATTCGGCAAAAGCAACAAACATCTAGAAAGAAAGAAAAGTAGAGGCCAATTTAGTAGCTAGTACTAGGCCTCTCGTCTGGTATTTTGTGGTTTGACGTTCATTTAAAGAAATATATAAGGGAATAGGAAACATTTTCGTGATTTATCTGATTCACGGAAATGTTTTGTTTTATTGGAACTCATACGATTTTGAAACTATATAATTTAGTCAGACAGAAGTGACAATCACGACCCTTAGTTATTAATTTTTAGATAGATTAGATGCTATCTAATGAGTAGGTATCATTAAGTTTAATTATTTATCATCCAAAATAGCATTAAATGGGGTATTCTCGCAGGACTTCTGGTACTCACGAAGTTCCTTTCTGTCACCGCAGTCTACGTTGGAAGGGATGTCGCATCGTTCTTTATTGGGGTTTTCATCAGAGAACACGAGACCATCAGGGCATAGTTTCTCTTCCGCTTTGCCTATAAAAAGAAATAACGGTAGGTAAGGGGCTACGTTACCCCTATTATTTAAGAAGACGTACAATAATTAAATATAGCCCAATGGTTTGACCTATCGACCCTCAAGTAGAGGGCCGTGTGTGGATTTGGATCAGGGCTCGTACCTCTGAATTTTTCGGAATTTATTTGTGAAATTTACCGTAACTTAAAACTGCCAGATGGTGGGTTCCCGTATTTCGTCGGTTAAAAGGTAAAACTCATTAAGTGACATTTTGTTCAAAAACTAGATTTTTTCAATTTTGCTTTATTGGGAAGAACATCTATGACAAGAAAAATTCAGTAAGTCTGTGGTGTCCTTCATGTTTTAATACATACCAGTCCTTTAGTGATTTTTCATAATGAAAAAATACAAAATCTTAATTATCTCCCTTTGGCCAATTAGGCTATTAGTGAGTTTTACCTTTTAACCGACGATTTATTCAGCTTTTTATGTCACTTACTTTGGACTACTTAACCAGATTCGACAAATAAACAAAGCCTCGGCTGGACCATTTCTTTTCAAGCATAAAGAAACTAAATAAAAAATAAAATAAAATTGTTTATTGAATAACGTATTGCATAAATGAATAACTAAAGGCTATTATGCGAATAAATGTAAAGTATAACACATATACGTGAATTGGGATAATCCTGTATTTCAGGTTCATAATTATACAGGTGAATGTATGATGATTAAATTATAAACAAAAAATAATTAAAATATAAACAAACAAAAAAAAATTTAAGAATGAAATGCAAATCATATACCTATTACGCTTAAATTAGACAACATTTATTTTGGAATAATTAATAAATTCTCTGTATCATCGTAGGACATATTTTGAAGGAATTCTCGTAGAATTTTCTTAACCTTTATGTAACAAAAATGATATATGGCCGGTTTGTGTGTGCCACGAACACCTAGTGACACCGGTAGTAGTAGAGCTAGGTTACAATTATGCAAGTAATTATTTATATTATTCTGGTAACTTATAGACACGACCGAACACATTGCGAGACTGAGTAATATGTGAACTAAAACTAGTCACTATTTGAATGGACATTCTTACTCTTGCAGGATATATATCGTTATATCAAGCGCTGACCTTGGCACTTATGGTTTTGTGCTGTAATTCAAATTCTCGCAGCTCTAAATATTTGTCTCCATAAAGAAATCCTGCGCAATTTTTAGTTTTGACACATTATTTTGAGGTCACGTGTCATGGTTCGTAAAATCTAAAGGCTAGTTCACTTTCGCGTTGTGTTATAAAATTCTTAGTTTGTCGCAATAGTGAGGGAAAGAGTTCGCACTCTATTTGCTGTATTAATGTCGGTGGGGTAATTTCCTTCGAACTACGCATTGAGTGTAACACAACGTAAAAATATGCTGAAATTGGACATATCCGTAGGTATACGTATATGGATAGATGATATATATTTGTAGCTGGTAATCGGCTTGCGTATAGGATGTTTTATACCGTTTATGTTCTACGATTATGCTGATTGTTCTAGGATGTATCCGATATCCCTATCGCATCATTAACATCCTTATACCTAAGTTATATTATTACCGTGTGCATAGTTTTTTGTAATCAATATGAGTTGCTATTTAACAACGTGGTTATTTGTTGCGAATGTTGTTTTAAACTATATAAGGACTAGTAAATATTTCCCGCCAAAATTGCATTAAATAAAAATTATAGCAAAAGCTGTGTTTGTAGTGAGCTCTACAGCTTTTTTATATTTTAGTGTAATCGACAGAATCAGTATTGAAAATCATAACGTAAACGACCCCACGTTTACTAAATACAAAGTGACAAAACACGTGTCGCATCTTTTGCATATTTTTCATCGCTAGTACTTATTACCTTAAACCTGAAAGACTCAAGATAGGTCTTAGATAAGATAGCAAAAATATTGTAAGTGCCAATTAAGGCTTAACATCCACTGCTTTAAGAAATTTTAGCTATTACACAATCCGTTAGGAAATTCATTATTATACATTAAAATTCAATTTAATATCACATTTAAATGTAAAAATATTTAAAAACCCCTATCCTGTAACGTTTGTTTTTTGTCGATTACGCTAAGTCGGCGGTAAAGACTCGATATAAATATCACGGTAATGAAATATATATTTAATGAATAAATATGATTATTAAAATTTACATTGAAAACATGAGATTTTCGTTTAATGATAATACTGTTTTCAACGTGCAATATATACTGTTGATCTAAATAATGATGCATAACTTCACGCGTAGGACAAATAATCATTCTACGAATTGAAATCCATATGGCGACTATGCATACTGATCGCTCCATTCGAAGGTCATTTACCTTCAAACGCTTTCTGATAAAGCTGCATTTAGAAAATAGATACGTAGTGATAGCGTTTATGATCTGCCGCCATGGTCGAATGGTTACCACGCTAGACTGCTACGTTCCCGCGTTCGATTCCCGGGCCGGTAGAAACATTTATTTCTCTCGTGAGTTTGGGTGTAACTTGTGTTTATCTATGTGCGTGTCCATGGCACCCGCGACACAGGGTTTCCCTAGTGCGGCTATGAGTATGTGCGTTATTACTATTATTATTATTATAACATCTTATTATGACATAAAGGTGATTTTTTAAATGTTATTTCAAGTAACGGGACGAATAAGTCGTGCATCTAGTGGCAAGCGAAACGTCTAACTATAACAGTTGCATCGCCAGACTTTAAATCGCAAAGATCTGAGGGGCACTGCCACTGCACTTGTCACCCTGAGACTTGTAATCTCACTAGAACCCTTACAGTTCCTTGGTGTGACAACCATTGAAATTAAAATTCTTTAACGATACGCATTGTGTATTTATTTTCATATTATTAGCTTTCCAACAACTCTGCTATCTCTTATTTTCCTTTAATTATTTTTGTAATACTTAATAATTAATAGTTATTAAATGCACCTGTGTCATATATTTCTAGATCGAGTCTAGAGTGGTGGTCGAAATACTGTAACACGGGGTATCCTAGTACAGGTTTCGCTCTCTCACAATGGTCAAACACGTTGTCATTTCAGCCTTTGTACGTGCCTATTAGTGGCCTGGAGCGTCATAGTGGTAAATCTGCGGAGTTCCACGACACTCACAAGCCCCTGCTAAGAGGGTAAACCTTAGGGGGTTTAGTGGGTATGCCCTCCACCTGGAGAGCTTGTCCCATATAACCCTTGAGTCTCCCCGGGCTCGAGGTTATGCATAAAGCATTTCCCAGTCATAAACAAAAAAATACTGTTATAAACTGCCACGGTGTGGCGGTTTATATCGACAAAAGAACTTTAATTTCTACAAAATAACCGTAAGAGCAAAAATATCTCTCACTTAGCTTTAAACTAAGTCCAAGTCAAGAAACTGCGGCGATCATGAAAACACTTTAAAAAACTTTTTTTTGCATTTTTTATAAATTTCAGAAGCATTGAATTGTTGCAATTTAATTCTTGAAATTAATTCAGTCCCTAGTATAAGAGACAGTTGTTGTTAAAGAAGTTAAATTCTGTTTAGTTTCAATGTTGCACGATTGTTGTTTCGCTATTATATGCTAATCTATTATTGCCTCTATTGAACTATCTTTCTTGCCGTGTTTAATTCATTCAAGATTACCTAATTATCACTTGTTTTAATGGCGAAGAAAAACATTGCTATAGCTCCTGCGTATTGTAAAAGTACATGTAACTTTACAAAGGAACATGAAGTTCTTTTGAGTCATTTTGGTGGATTATATACCTATAGACATTGAGTAAGTTGTTGAGTGAGTTGGATGTCATTATACACTACAGTGCGCTTTAGAAAATATCCAAGACCTTACATATGACGGATGTAGACATATTAGTGCGATATTATTGTCGCGCGTGAATAGCTTAGAACAGTCGACATGAAGTCGACCTTTTATCACGATACCAACCTTTGCTGCATTTATAATAAAGGTCACACTGGTATTGATCCGGGAAGAAGCCATTCTTGTCGGGACATTGGAATTCCTGACCTGAAACTGAGACAAGAAATAAATTATTATAAATTGCGCGTAATTACATTATTTTAATTATATAGTGTATTTTTTTATGGTACCAAGTGACGGAACAAACAAGTCGTGCGCCTGGTAATAAGCGACACGTCTGTCCATAACAGTTGTACTACTAACACTCAGAACTTTAAATCACTAAGATTTAAGGAGCATCGTCACTGCGCCCGCCTGTCGCCCTGAGACGCAAATTGACGTCTCATGTGCCTGTTTCTTAACAAGCAACCTTACGATTTTCTTCAAAACCGAAATGCAGTAAGGACCACATTACTACTATGCGGCAGAAATAGGTAAGGTGGAAGTAAAGAGCTCTACAGCTAACAACTAGAGTGTATAATAAAAATGTATAATAAGTAATAAGAATAACGTATTGAAAATGAAGGCCGTTATTTAGAACCGATTTCAAAAAAAGGAGGAGGTCCTCAATTCGATTGTATGTTTTCTTTGTATGTATGTAACGTGTTAACTTCGACTCCTTTCTAAACCGATTTTGATGATCTTTTTTCGTTGGAAAGAGGATACCTCAGAAGTAGTCCTATTTAAATTTGGTGAAAATGTTCCACGTCTAAGGGTGGCAAACTAGGGGATGAACGATTTTTGAGGTCGGTATTTTTAGTACTCTGTCCAGAGACTATTATCATATCATTTCGAAAAGGAGAAGGTGTCTGCCACCGTGGGCCAACTTGCACACGCTCTCGAATTCAAGTGATAAACACTTCTATTTACTAAACAAAAACATTGATTCTTCGTGAAGTCTTGTTTTGTTATATATTTGTTGAATTATTAAATAAGGCACTTTTGTTTTTCAAGGTGTCCTACAAATGTAATCATCCACTAAAATTTCATATTGCATGCATGTTCAAAGTATTGACAAATAAATTTGCCTGTTGGAAAAGTTTGCATAATCCATGCCTTACGTGATAATTATAAGTAGTTCTATAGTTCCTGCCAAGTGATATCAGAGCATAAATTCTGGTTAAAGCAGGAAGGTGTTGACTTCCTGATCTGATTATAACTGGATTAAAATTATTGAAGTTACTCAGCAAGTTCTAAGCCTCCATAAATTTGAACAAAATAAGACCCTGGCCAATAAATTTGGTCAAGAAAATAATTAAGCTACACAGAGAGTTCATACTGTTTTTTTTTTTTGGAAAGTAAAAGTTTTTAAAAGGAAGGTTCATTATCTTTATACATGGCTTTATTCTTTACTTTTTACCTTATTTTTATTGAATATCAGGATGTTTCACCTAGTTTGTTATAATTATTTATACAAAGACAGAACACTTAGATGAAATTCCTTCGATCCGGCCGGATTAGAACCGACGCGACGGCCACTAGCAAACCGTGCCAAACGCTTTGCCATCTAAGCCACGGAACGAAATAGCGGACCTCACGAATTTCTTTATGTGATTGTTGTCGGATCTGGTGTATTTGGTTTTCAACGACTTTTTGGTACATAATTTTTTTGTTATATAAAATTGATATCATATCAATTCTTTACGGCATATTATGTTTGTTTTTTTTATTTCATATATTTTAGGTCTAAAAAGTTATTTATTAAAAAATGCATTGTCCAATTATCAAAAATACTGACAAATTTCGGTACCCTAATTTAATTATATAAAATTTTATTAGTGACCTGAATTTATTGCTCGTAAGTTTTTTCGTTAAATGTTATTAAGGAAACGAAATCAATACCAATAAGGAACAAATAAGCAACTATATTTATTTAAAAAGAAAAAAACATCGGTTCTAATTGGAAGTGAAACTATGTTTTCAAATTTAAATCACGTTTTTTTGTTTTTTCAACAATGTGAACCTGAAAAGAGCCCAGTTTGTTTGGTTTGTAGAATCGTGAAAACTTAAGAACTCAATGTATGTTCTGATTTTAATTTCATAGTAAGTATTTTTTTTAAATAAAAATACTATGTACAGGAAAAGAAATAAATTAATTATTTTCTAAACTCATTGCAAATCTTTCATAATGTAAACACCTTGAAAACAGAGAAAGAGTGAACCGATGTTTTCAGGCGAGTATACCAACCTCATCCACGTCTTCACTATTAAATAGGTGACATTTTAGACAGAAGTAAGCCTTATCTCATAAACAAATGTGAATATAAACAAATTGTAGTACTTTATGTAACTCTACGCTAATAAGAATAAGACCATGACGACTTTGAACTAAATTCCTCTATAACAGAATGTAAACTCGCAATCAGCAAAATATAAAATTACCGCTAAGACCTCTAAAACAAGAAGTAGAGTAGAGTAAGCTACGTACCTATGATACTCGATTAGTTGACTCGGATAATTCGATTAAAGATTACGAGTAGCACTATATTTAAATTCGATTTGTTGATAATCGATTATTCATAGATAATTGATAGTTTCGTCAAGTTTTTTTTTAATTAAAATGAGTCTGATTGAATACGCAACTGGTTATGGATGGCTATGTCAGTTCAAACCCAAGCTAATGTTTAGATTGACATTTCATCAAATCCATTCTCTAGATTTTAAGTTCTAAAATTCTAAAATTGAAATAGAGCAGAACACGTAAAAAAATTTCGGAAATATAGATTTGAAATATCTTTTGAATTTCGGTTGTATTTTACTGCGTTTATTTTTTACGATACTAAGTAATAAGTCGTGGGCTTGATGGGGTAAGTGACATGCCCGTCCACAACAGTTGCAGTACCACTCAGAGATTTAAATTACAAAGATCTGAGGGGTACTGCCACTGCGCCCATCACCCTGAGACATAAGATGAAAAGTCTTATGTGTCTTGTCCCACGTATTTTTCGTTGAAGACTAAAATTATTATAGTATAAATCGAGGAGGTAGGCTGCAGCACGTTTCTACACTAGATTTAGTTATACGATAGTTATCAATTAGTTTGTATCAAACGTATTCGTAAAAAAAAATATTCCGAAAAAGTCTACATGGGTAAGTTCAGTAGCAATAGATCTCCTTTTGAAAGAGTTCGTCCAGGGAAGTCTTTTCACCTTATCTATTTCTGCCGCCAACCAGTAATGTGAACATTACTGCGTTCCGGTTTGCCTTTGCCCTTGGTTTGGAAGGGTAAGGATGCTGGTGAAATTAGAGGCAAATGGAACTTGTCAACTTATGTCGCAGGATGATGAGTGCAGTGGCACTGCCGTTAAGACCTGTGAGACTTAAAGCTCTATGTGACACTGCTACTGTTATGGATAGGCGTGTCTCTCCACCAGGCGCACGACTTATTCGTCCCGCCACTTGGTATTATATTATTTAAAAAAATGCAATTTTGTTATCTCTACCTAATTTCGGAGGCAATTTTTATTATTTAAATATTCGAGTATATTATCGTGAAATACGAAGTAATATTTCAGGATACCACACTCAAATGTGAAAAAATACTTCATTGTAATATTCAAGAATACTTAAATAAAAATAATTGCCATCGTAATAGTAGTTGTATGTAGACAACACTAACCTGAAAATTACACACCTCTAGCAAAGGATTGTTGTATGTCGAAATAGTTGTTTTTGTTAAGCTACCAAATATTTGTGGTTCATGAAATCGTGATACAAAACGACATGTATGGGCACGATTAAATACAAATTCAACGCCCGGCCATGATTTTTGACATAAACGCACAATTTCTTTACATTTATTGTCGCATTTGCTCCATATATCGTAAATAATGTGTTCGTGATAGAAGTTTCAAAAGTTAATTCTGCCGTGACTATTGAACTACAGTTAAATTGGCCTTGCGACATACCTGTGCATGTTAGGAAATGTCCTGCGTTTTAACCGTTTAAAATAGCTGTTGCGAGAGGAGAATGGATTATATGATGATACGAGTGATTGATCCTTATATTTTATAACCTATTATGATGTAAATTCATAATTGGGGCTATCAGCGCAAAAGTGGTGTAACCCCATGAAATGCATATACAAGAAATTAAACGTGACTAATTTTAAATCCCTCATTTTAAAATTAGTTAAATTATTTATATATATAGTAATCACATATGACCAATACATAATTAAAGAGAAGAAGAAGAGGATTACAGGTGAATCGGACTTATTAGAGGCGAAGCTGTAGAGCCTTGAATTAAAGTAGCCTGTTTATCGGTTTTCTGCAAGATATATCATAGAAAGTGTGCGATGAAATTGCACGATTTAATCCCGCCTTCTCCTTTCCATCACCGAGGAACTAGACGTAGGCTTATATTCCACGGTTTCCAAGGATTCGTATGAAGCGTTATGCTTCCACATTATTTCCTTAACATTTTAACTTGGGCCTTTTCAAGGCGGGAATGAATAGGCAATATTTAGATGTGCATGCTCCATAGTCAACCTCATCGTCATTTTCCATCAGGTGAGATGGAGAACAAACGCGCAGTTAAATTTAAAAAAAATACACATGAAAATAATATCTATATACTTAATAATCATGTACTTTAGTAGAATAAAAAGTAATATTGTAGAAAAAGATGTGAGTTATACCGCTTTTACACTGATAGCCTCAATTGTTGTAACATACTGGATACATAGAACCCTGCGTTATGGGAACCCTGTGTGGCGGGTGCCATGAACACACACATTGACACCCAAACTCACGAGGCAAATAATGTAGGCCGTGCAAATATTTCTCCCGGCCCGGGAATTGAACCCGGGACATCTGCGTTGCAGATCAGCATAACCGGCCACGGAGACATTTCTTCGATATTTATTTCATTGTTAAGCAAATTACACCTGTAATCGTCACATTTGATTAGACTCTACTGCTCATACGTAACGCAGATTCCCTGTGAAGAATGGGCATTTAACTCTAGGGCTTGCTATTTGTTAATAAACTTCTGAACACATATCATATAAAAGATTTATTTCAAACATCATCAACCGACAACTGCAAGAGCTAAACGTCACTACCACGGATTTTTGTCACCTATGTACACAGAAGCCTTTTAGTGTAAAGTTTTTGTTTCACTATGGTTCTAATTCTCATGAATGACAAATTTAGAATATCAACCGGAATCTTATTATAGAAGCGTATCCATATTTCAAAGACTTTTTTTTATAATATCAAGTGATGGGACGATCAAGTCGTGCACCTGATGGTAAGTTTTACGCCTGTCCATAACAGTTGCAGTGCCACTCAGAGCTTTTAACAGCAAAGATTTGAGGGGCACTGCCACTGCGCCCGTCAACCTGAGACATAGTTGACAAGTCCCATGTGCCTGTAATTTCACCAGCTCCCTTACCCTTCAAAACCGGAACACAGTGATGCTGACATTACTGCTTGGCGGTAGAAATAGACAAGGTGGTAGTACTTCCCTGGAAGACCTCTTTCACAAGGAGCTCTACTGCTACTAAAAACGTTTTTAACCCTTTTCAGGTTCCATGGTCACGGCTGACTGAGATGATAAAGTCATCCAGCCGGTTTGTTTGAAAAACCAAATAAATACCATAATAAAAAAAAATAGTTTCATTTCCAATTTAATGTCATTTGGTATATAATATACATTACTAATATAGTATAAATAGCTACAAGGTCTTTACGTGAAGTACAAAACATTTCCACGTGGATAGTTGTTAAGTTTTACGTTGGAGAATCTCCTACTCCGGTTTTAAAGGGTAAGGGTGCTGGTGAAATTACAGGCATATGACACTTGTCAACTATGTATCAGGGTGACGGGCGCGGGGGTAGGGCACCTCCGATCTTTGCGATCTGGCGTTGCAACTGCTATGGACAAGCGTGTCGCTTACTACCAGGCGCACGACTTGTTCGTCCCGTCATTTTGTATCACAAAAAAGCTCCCAAGACTCATACGCACTGCTATTACTATAGTGTTATAACTCAAAATATGTGAAATTCAAGATTATACCATTGTTGAATGTAAAATTTGATTCTCTACACGTCAATAAAATAGAATATTGTAAAAAAAAACTAAAAGATTCTTAACTACTTAACTCAAAATGAGACACGCTTTATGTGAGCTAATTCTGGCCAAAATAGTCCTTATTCAAAATTATGAAATTATTTGTTTCTGTTTTATTTTTAAATAATATGTATATTTGGCATGTAGAAATAACCCATATATAAATTTACACAGATCTTTCACGGAAAGCGAGTAATTCGTTTTTCGTCGATTCTGAGAAAATACACTTTTTGAGTTAATACACTATTGTATTAACAGTGAGATATTTTGCCTAATTAAGGTGCTGTAAGCTCTTATTTATACTATAACTGTGTTTGTATACTATGTATAACCCTGAATTTTTTAGACCTAATATTGTAATCTGTTCTTGTACATACATGTACGTACGAACATACACTTCACGTTCTTTACCTATCGGTGTATACAGAGACCACGGCCTTCCATTTACTACGATCTTGACACACATGTTTCGCCTCATCAATACGTATCAATTTCCAAACTTTCAAACACGCTCGTCGGTTAAGGAAACTCTTGACCTGGGGTTCTAGTGCCGTCCGCCGTCTGACATCATGCGTCTTTTAATTTTTTCGAGTATTATTTATTTAACAGTATTTGTTTCGAACGAATGTCGGGTGGAGAACGGGAACGGATCCTCTGGCGTTTCTTTATGACGCCCTCAGTTTGGTATACGTACGAAATATATAATTTTAATGAATATTGTGAGTAAACGTTCAAGCGCAAACAGAAGAACCTGTTATTGGATAAGTCCCATTACTCAGTAACAGAGACATTAGTACTATAATAAACAATTAAATTTATTATATATTTTGTTATATTTATTAACGAATTTGACATTGACCGTATTATTATACTTTAATTTACATTTATTAGCTATTAATAATCCATATTGACATTTCCTGTATGTAGTACCTCCACATTTGACATGGCTAGTTTATTTCAATTATTTATTAGTTTCATTAATTATCTTGATTTGTTTTTGCGCACTATTGTGTACTATGACTTGCTATTATATAATTATTTCTCACTATTTGTAAACTGACGCTCACTTTTCGAAGAGTAGTATAAAATAACATGTAATTGTATTTGCGTGAAATTTGTAATGTTAAACAATACTATATGTACTGTGAATATGCATGAATATCACCGCTAAATAAAAATAAATTTCTTTTGTATTACTTACATGAAAATATTTAAAACTAAGTAATAGAATTATATTTAATAGGATGTACTAATTTCCGTCACATTTTATTGAAAAAAAAAGTTTTTAGATTGAGTTAAAATAATTCTTGTACGCTAGGTCCATTCCTGTTGTTTTTATGTCCATGTGCTCTTACAGCATTGTGTTCCTACTTCTATTCATGGTGAGCAAGGACCATACAAAGTAAGATTATCAAGTGACTGAAGAATAAATTATGCGTCTGGCGGTAAGCAACACGCTTACTCATAACAGTTGCAGTGTCACTCAGAACATTAAATCGCAAAAATCTGAGGGGCACTGCCACTGCGCCCGTTACCCTGTGACATAAAATTGATAAGTCCCATGCGCCTATGGTTTCTTCAGCACCGTTACCTTCAAAACCAGAAAGCAGTAATGGTTACATTACTGTTTGACGGCAGAAGTAGATAATGGTGACAGTACTTCTATTGACGAATTCTTTTACAAGGAGCTCTACTGCTACTAAATAATATACGAGTATGTTATAAAATAAATTTTTTCTAAAATTAGAAACTCCGCGTCAAAAAAACTGGAAAGAATTTTTTTAATACGGATATACATAATTAAGTGAGTGGTCTGTTTATGGATGATTGCAAATGTGGCAAATTTTATTATTTACGTATTCGAGTATATTGTCGTTGTAACATACTTGAAAACTTAAATAATTAAGAAAAGAGGTAGTCAATGCTAACTCAAAAACAACCGATATTACAGTTCGAACTTTTACATTAAACTTAAATTTGAGCTAGTTATTTGCCTTTAGTGAAAGGTTGTCCAGACGTTATAAACGAGACACGTTATCTGAGATAAACAAGCAGAAAATTTACAAATAAACTCATGATGTATTAAAACAATTGTGAATTCCTAATAATACTCAGTTTCAACAAGCATTTATTATCAGAAACTATAAATTGGTAGTGGTGTAATAGGTTGACATATCGCCTCTCCAGCATATGGGCGTTGGTTCGGATCCGGGCTTGTCCCTATGAGTTTTTTGACATCTATGTGCGATATTTAATTTGATATTTACCATGAGTTGTTCAGTAAAGGAAAACATAGACTTAATGATGTGTGTCAAGTTCCCAATCTGTCCATGGTCTCGAAGATACGAGATGTTTATACATGTGAAAATCATGAAAATATAAATCAACGTACCACACTCTAAATTTTAAGAAAAAATAATAGTTGTAGTTTTTTATTATTTTTTTGAACTACAAAAATAAAACCACATGACGACCTCACTGGCTCAACGGTTTGCACTGTAGGCGTTGGGTTTATTTATTTATTTATTTATTTATAATATACAACTTACACTAACAGTAAAAACCAAACATGCAAGCCATAGTCAATATTGGTTGGGTGTAGAGATCCCGGATTCGATTTATGGTCGAACCAATTTGGGAAATGCACTTTTCTTAGTTAATTCTGGTTTGGATGTTCTGGGTACCTCGGAGTGAATTCCATCGCTCTGACACTCATAGTACATGGAATTTCCTAGGTTGTGACTGGATAATTGGTCTTGTACATTATTATTATTATTTAAAACTTTCAATCCTATATTTACGACAGTTTGAATTAAATATTACTTGTCATTAAATTACGTAATCAAATAATTTGCTGAGCTAATCAAATTATCATTAGTCAAAATATTATGAATCGGCAATGACTTTTTAATGATTATTTCCACAAATATATTCACAAATAGGAAATGAAACTATTTTTCCGGATTTAAATCGCGTATATGTTTTTTCTAACAATTTATAATGGATTTAAATCCGGAAAAATAGTTTCATTTCCTGTGTGTAACAAACGCGAAAACCTAAGAACTTAATTATATTCACAAATTTGAAATAACTTTCATATTGCATTGTTAATTTTTCAAAATATTAAAGCACCTTGTCTAAAATATGTTTATTTATTCTTTGCTTTACTCAATTGCATTAAAAGACGAAAGAACACATTTAATAATAATATAAAATCTATTAATAATAAATTAAGACTATGTTTAGCTAAATAGTTAAACAGTTAAACTACTAAACAGTTAGCTAACTGTATCCCCTTTTAAATTGTAAAATAAAAAAAATAAAAGTAATTATCGTAAACTATGAATAATAATGATGGGTATAATTAGAATACCGTATTGTTGCTTTTAAGTTATGCGTAACAACTTTCATTTCATGAAAGAATTCAACCCTCTTGAAATTCCGCCATATTTTTTTGCCATTGGATAGACAAAATTAACTTTTTCGATAACTAAAATAAATCAAATGAACTTACCTAATACAAGACCGGCTAGGGTAACCAGCAAAGTCTTCATCGTGATCTGGTTCACCGAATTGGATTAACTATATAAAAATTAGATCAGTCCGCGTGTACGTGTTGCCAGTACAGAAGGTTGTTCGGTATTGCCGCGAGCTCATTGTGCCTGCGTCGCCGGCGCAGCTTATTACACGCTATGCGATGGAAACGGGTGCAATAAATGACGCTTTACCGAATTTTTTTAGGAATATAGTGTGTATAGTATAACATTACTGTCATATGTTAAAATATCTTTTAGAAGTTTTTATAAGGATAAATGAGTTCGTCCTGGAAAGTACTGCCACCTTGCCTACTTTTGTCACCAAGCAGTAATGTGACCGTGTGTTCCGGTTTTGAAAGACTAATCTGCTGGTGAAATTACAGGCACATGGGACTAATCAGCTTATGTCTCAGGGTGATGGGCGCAGTAGCAATGCCCCTTAGATATTTGCGATTTAAAGCTCTCAATAGCATTGAAACTGTTATGGAGAGTCGTCCTGCCACTTGGTATCATAAAAAAAAATTGAATGTGAATGAATTTGGAATTACGAATTATGTGTTATATTTTCATAATTTCTACATAAACTCTCAAAATTAACACAGCTGTAAATTTAACGTATATTTAACGTATATTTTACATAAATGTATCGGTTTATAACAAAATAGAAATGTCACAGTTGGAATGAATGGAACAAAATGTTGATTGACAGAATACTGCACTCTTCTAAAGCGAATGGACTGTAATGAGTGTAGATTCGAAAAAAGTGTCGTGCAAGTCGAGTTAAAATACAGAGTGTAAGATTGTAATGACCTTTATGAAACCTTGTAGCCCTTTTGTGAAGCATTTTTGGTGTTTCACTTATGTACTATGGTATAAAAGAGTTTAATTATGAGAAAATAATTGCATAGTAATTCACTGGGTTTACTATTTGTATTGTAAAAAGTATGCTAAAGTATTGGCATCATCATCAGCCTATGCCAGTCTACTGCTGCCATTTCGCTCGTTCCTACGCTTGCTGCATCCGTTTGCCGCCAGCAGCAGCCTTTCGCGGATCAGTGCTCCATCTGGCCAGAGGGCGCCCTATACTATTAACTAACTACTAACCACTAATGATCCATAGTAATGTTAGTAATACAGTAAATTTTTCTTACGTGCTATGGTTAGTGCAATACAAAATTAGGTATTTAATTCTAGAGAAATGCCACGTCTAGACCACTACCTTATGCACGTGTAGTTGCACCTAATGTTGTTGGTAGAGGCAGTCCAGCCTATTGGCAATAACGGTTATGATGCTATTAGCGCTGCCGTGCACACGCATCATGAGTGAGGCAGGAAGCCATCTGCGTGCCACCGTGAATATTGCCGATGCACTACAGTGTCGCGGCAGCCTCATTAGCATCCTGAAAGCGTTGTTATATTGTACCCTTAATGTATACTGGGTTATCTGCGTATACTTCACCCACAGGCTGCTCGTGTAAAAGTTTTGGCTATATGCCATAATAAATAATGATATCTTTACATCTTTGGTGCAACGAGCAAACCTGCGGGCGAGCATATTACATGAAACAGACAGGGTCCTTCTCTCCCTTTCCATGTCAGCATGTCGGCAATATTACTAGCGTATTTGTACCAATATATTTTCTGTATGCATACAGAAAATATAACAAAAAATAATCTTTATGTACTTTGACAAGAACACGAGAGATCCGACACTTTAAAACACTCTATACTTTTTATTTGCTCCAGCTGGTTAAATCTCGAGGTCCCAAGTAGCTGGCCTCGTATGCCACACGATGGTCAATTTCATGGTGACAAATGTAGGAAGTTTGGTTTTAATTTTTAATATATTTCTTGGTCATTACCATTGATGTAACCTTAGGTTTTAATGAAAGTTTATACATAGTTATTGTTAAATAAAATAGTAGATAATTTAATGAACCTATATATAATTTGTACTGTGTTGATAGAATAGTAGATACAGTTTGGGTATGGAAAATCAACATTTGACTGTGTTGACACCCCTTGACTTCAGTAATGCTTTCAATGGAGTTGACTTTGACTTATTATTGGAAGTATTGCGTTTCTTAACATATCTCCAGCAGTTATTGAATGGCTTCGACGCTACCTCGGTGGACGTCGGCAGTGTGTACAACGCCTAAGTTTCGGTTTTTCTCCACTATCCTTTAATTTATTTCCTTAATTTTTTCGTTTAAAAATATATAAGTATTTAATATTATTATTTATGTATTAATAATATTTGTATGTATATATCTATCTACATATATGAGTTTATTAATAATGATTATGTAGTGTACTTATAATGATATTCTTTGGTTGCACCCCTTTTGCATATCCCAAATTTCTAATAATAAATATTAGACATCACACACTTGGTCTGATTCCAAAGTAAGTAACTAAAGCAGTTTAACTGCTTCTGTGGCCGAACGGTTACCATGCTGAACTGCCACGCAGAGCTCCCGCGTTCAATGCCCGTGTCTGGAGAAATATTTGTATTTGTATACATTTATTTCTCTCGTGAGTTTTGATGTAATTTGTGGTTGTCTATGTATGTGTCCATGGCACCCGCGGTACAGGGTTTCCCTAGTGCGGCTATGAGTGTGTGCGCGTTATTATTATTATTACTTGTGTTATGGAAATCGGCAACAACGATGATACCACAAATTCCCTATTTCTATCTTAAGGTTGCCTGAAAGAAATTGCTAAATGGCACTAAAGTAGCCTTTTGTAAGTTTCTATATTGTATTTTAACTGTAATTTTATGTCCAATAAAGAATATTTCATTTCAATCGAGATTTTATGGTAGATAATTTCATCGTGTGACCTCGAACGATATACACGTTTGTCGTTAAGCTTTATGTTATGTTATTTATTATTATGTGACGGAAGTAACTGCGTATCAACATACTTTCCTTGTTTTTCTGAGTGTTGTTCATCCCTTTCTAAACTTCAAATTAAGAATATGTAGAAATTAAATATTTTATACCACACGTATACCATCATGATAAGTTGACCATAGTTATAAGTTGCGTATGTTTTAGTGTTAATTTTATCGGAGCTAATCAGGCCGCGCCATATAACTACTAATATAAAATGTAGCGAGTTCCACCAAAAAGGTAAGGTCTGAAAATTAGCCGACCTTTTTATCTACATGTGTAACTTTAGATGATATTGTTTAAGCGAAATTATTGTTATGTTAATGTACATAAATGAAGCTCTTTATTATTATTATTATTATTTTGAAGATCCACTCTCGCCTCAAGGCCTAAAAGATAATTTTGAATTTTTTAATAAGAGCGGTCAGGGTCAGAAACTCAGATCCAAGAACCGGCCTTCTGAATTTGTGCTGAAAGCGACACGCCAAAGAAATCCAACCGGTTCAAGCTGCTATTCAGGCTGACTGGAATTAAGCCGTTTGCGGACAAAACAATTGGGATTGTTTCAGTTCACCACATTCCACATGTCGGTGATCTCGTGCGCCAGATCGAGATACTTCCGACGTTTCGACTTTCACGAGGCCCTCGTCATGCGGGATGGTAACGTCTACAAGAAATACCCTCGACTGCGATCGACCCAATATCAAAATATCAGGCTTATTTGCAAGAATAGTCCTGTCTGTGATAATGGATCGATCTCAATAGATTTTCAAGTATTGGTTCCGGTGAATACTTGTAACAAGACATCCTTTGTTGCACGAGTCCGTACTACAGAGCCAGCTCTTGATGTAATACTTTGGCTGCCTGTTTGTGTGTATGTGTGTGGTTATTATTATTATTAAGGATAAAATGGAATTTTAGACTCTCATATCCCCTATGACCTTAACGATTAATTTTAAATTGTTGAATAGGAGAGACGATATTCCCCAGCAATAGCCCAGCTCAATATTATCATTATTTAATGAATTCTTTCTTATATAGACTATATAAGATTATATAGTACCCAGTGAGATCATCTCATAATATTTTTTAATTAATTAATTACATAGTCTCAAACTAGGAAATTCCTTGTACTATGCGTACCAGAGCAACGTTATTTTAAGTCTAGGGTACTACCGCTGAACAATAAGACATACATAAATTTACAAAACTTTGTTTCAAAAATATTTTCTACCGGAAATCGACCTCAGAACCTCCTCAATTAGCGTCCATAGTACTAATATTGCTCTACTTTTGAGGTTGTTGCAAATTACGTTACCCATTGAAATATGATTCATACCATATGGAACAAAAGTACCTCAATTGCTTTCGAAAAAATTGAGCTTTCGACGCAGCGTATTCAAGATATCGCAAGTCGTGCATGTAGGGATCGAGATTGCGTACAATTCATTTTTCGAATAACCATTGCTTAAAATGTAATCTGATGAGAATTTACGCCAATATTACGCACGTTCCTTTGGTCAAAATCATAAATTTAAGCATATAAATACAGCAAAACGTTACAAGTAGGCAGAAATAACTTTGAAATGAAAAGCATAGAACGGGGAATAAGTACATCTCTTTCATTGTTCTTCTGACCGATGGCATACGAGTAGACTTGCAGCCCTACTTGCAGAACTACCGAACACGTTTGCCAGCATGGTGAATGGTGAAAAGTTATTTACTAATCGGCGTAAGGTTCTCCTGAGGTAAGCCAGACTTTCGGACGAGAACATGATTAGTATGTCTTCGGGGGAGCTCCTTTCGTGCACTACAAAAAGTGCTTAAAACAAAAACGCTAAAAGGTTGTTTTTAGCATGATATGAAGGCATTTGATACCGCTTAGTTGTCGATATCTCGAAAAGGTAGTCAGAATACTTATAATAGATATAAAAATAAGATTAAAACTATATAAAAATATTAAATGACCTTATCTACAATTGGCATATGACAATGTCCAGATATGAATAATTGATATTGCGAATTAGGCAACGTAGACAATCAGAATTGGGCAACTGAGGTTGTCAAAAACTGGTCTAGGAACAACAGGATTTAGTTCGCGTGCCTGTACTCACGACTATTCTATAGAATTGCAATTATAGTACCGGTACGCTATGATGGCCGTATTGACGTTTGTCCGCTCATCAAGTTT